TAGTAGTAGTAGTAGGTGGTAGTAGTGGTAGCGGCAATAAGTAGTGGCAGTGGTAGCCGTAGTGGTACTTACAGTAAGCAGTGGCAGCAAGGCAACATCTTTTCCGGCTATAGCAGGCCGTCACGTGTCTTCGCGTATGGTTTGGCCCCGGCACCACATCGGCTCCACCCAAGAAGATCTTGTGCACCACTGCTTCTTGCGATGCAGTGTTTGTGGTGAGCTTTCCCGATTGCCTGCAGCATCAAGCGATGTGCCAGGATGATACGACTGCTATCTACCATTGAACAGGCTGCTATCGTGCTGAGGTTGCCCTTGAAGGCACAATGAACGAATACAGCATGGGCCAGCAAATCACACCCCCAAGCACCCTACAACCACTGTTCAACCCTTGTGATGCCATCCAAAGTTCCTGGGCAGCTTCAGCAATGCAATGCTTTGGTCTCTTCATGAACTTACCTGACAGGGCCGCTTCGAACTCTACCGTGCCGACTCTGCCGGGAAAGCACGACTTGATGCGACCAGACCCCATGACGGCCTTGTCGAAGCGAACATTAACACTGTTGCAAAAAGCAGTTTGGCGCCCTTGGTCTCCATCCCAATCTCCGCTATCATCTTCTTCTGTAGCAGGGGCCGGCATGTCTATTGTCCGTGACAGGGCCAGGCAGCTGATCGCATCTTGACGTGGGGGGTATGCCGGTACGCAAACTCCCAAGTGACCATAATATCCGCCGCGAAGCAATCTCACACACTCTGAACATCTGACCTCGGGATCGACCCGGCGCTCGCGGCACGACAGGCTCGCGGTCTCACCCACCTTCTCGAAGCCTCGTATCTTCAGATGACGCTGGAAATCCCCAAAGTCCAAGGTTCGGAAAACCCACGTCTCAATGCACAATGCAGTCTGTTCGGCAGTAGATACTGGGTTCTTGATAAGGCACTCGGTCCAATCGGCCCTCTGAGTCGAGACTTCTGCAAGGGTGGCTGGTGGCCGGGTTCGAACCGGCGGGTCTGCAACGACACGCCTGCTTGTTTTGTCAGCCGCCTGTGCGACTCCGGGACGTGGGATCCCGAAACGTCGAGACGTGCATCTGGACACGAAGCCAAGATCAGAAAAGAGTTCAATAGCATGGAGACTGCAGAGGTGAAGTAGGCCAAGAAACAACCCAAGAGAATGGAGCTTCCGCATGCCTCAGATCAACAGCACACGCAGCAGGCCGCTGCCATCTAGCGACTAACCACGGCTCGTCATGCACGGGGCTGTTACTACTCGTAGCGGCCGTAGCGCACCAAAAGTTGGCCTTGACCTCGCAGCTCTGCATATCCAGTCGGCACTGCCCAAAGAGGATGGTGCAGTGCTGATCGCTCAGCCGTTTCACGTTTAGCCGCTAGCCCCTGCTATCAGCGATAAATCATGCGCGGTTCATGCACAGTACAAGGCTCGGTGAAGGTCAGATCATACTTGATCACTGCTGTCAGCCAGATGCATTTGGCGAGTTCGACAAACTCGTGTGTCAACTCACCTCACATGGGTGCCTGAATGTGGAAGGTCCTACCTTCATTGACGATTTCCGACGGCAACATGGCATCTCAGGTGAAACTTCGAAGTTGGGCACCTCTATTCCTTCTCTCTGCACTGGCCCACGACAACACTGCAAAGCTACTGGGCATTCTCCTCAAGAGCTGCGCTGTCAACATAGAGGCTGTCATTCGAGGAGGACCTTGCAATACATCGACTCGGGCATGAAACGACAACAAGCATCACTTTTTGAGCCTGGATGGCACTTCAGACACTTCTGTTGGCGTCGTGCTCCGGCTGCTTAAATGCGTTGCCTTCGCAGCATCTGCAGACGACGCTAGAGAGCAAAGCCAGTCGCCTGTGTGGTAGTGCTCAGAGCATCTCGGGGGCCAGTCCTGAGTCTGCAATCTCATCGTGTGGCCACCGGCCCATGCTCTTCCTGGGGCCCAGAACCCTCTTGTCCGAGGCACAACCTTACACTGGGCCAAGGCAACTTCCACGCAGGCCGAGGAGGGAGTGCTGTGCGTGTTCCAAAGAGGCACGCCGAACAGCCGCGACTTCGACAGTGTCTAGCGAATGAAGCGGCAAGCCCGAGGAGGGCGGGGTGATTCTGATATGGCAATGCTCGGAAATGAAGAAAGGGTCATGAGGTTCATGCACAACATATGCAAACCACGAGGTTCTTGCGCAACACATGCAGGACTGGATACTCGAATCTGCCACATCAAAGACTGAAGCAAAAGCCTGAGTGCAAAAGCCGAGGCATTGGCTCTGCCAGCACTCACCTAGTTAAAACGATTCGCATCAGCATTGCGAGAATCCTAGCAACACTGGGCACCCAGCCTCTGTCGCGGGCTCTGCCTGCCACTGTTCGCCGACACTGGGTCGTTTGGAACTCGGGTCATTCTCCCTCATTTTCTACGCATTCAGCTGGCTCCAAGGCTCCAGGCCCTTCCCAGGTGAACTGAGGTCAGGAATCGCTAGGCTCTAGGCCGGCTGGGACTGTGCTCACTGTGCCATTTCCTCAAACTGCTCTCTGGATGACAAAGTTGCTCAACTTCTCCGTTTTCCCAAGTGTAGACTATCGAAAGTGCCAGCCAGGTCTGGGACAAACTCAGTCGGCCGTGGAGCGAGAAGAAAAGGATTGAAGATGGCCAGAGATTCACGGAAGATGTAGACTGCTTTATCCATTGAGTTTCCTTTGTCTCGACTGGCAGAATAACATGTACTTCCGACCAGTAAGCGCAAAGGATGGCACGGAGTAATTAGACCTCGGTCTTGCGACCCCCACCTACGGTTGTCTGCTCTCCAGTCCTGACTGCTGTCTTTTGCTCCAAACGGGTCGGATCAAAGTGGCCCCATGAAAGTCTGTGATGAAACACCCGCGGCTCGGCTGGCTGACTCCGCTCAGTGATCCTTTGCATGGCACATAGCAGCATTGGATCGGCGCCGTTCTCAAATGCCCTTTTTCTGAGTACATGAAGAGACTTTTGTGCCAGGTCCGCAGAAGGCAGTTTTAGCTGTCTTGTGCAGAGTTTCATCATGTCAATTTTATATCTGGCTTTTCCTGCGGGTGGGCATGTTCTCCCGCGTGGACCCAAAGTGTGGTCGCTTTGTCTCACTCTCTTACTCTTGCTTGCTTGCTTGCTTGCTGGGGGTTTGGGGGCCTAGACCCCCCGGCCCGAAGGCCTACCCCAACGAGGTGCGCACCGGTACGTCTGATTGGCCCCTTCCGGGGTGGGAGCGATTCTGTTCCCTTGTATGCACCTTTTTGTACCCCGACCCCCAACAAACACCCCTCCTAAAACCGTAACCACATAGACTTGAGAGGCCGCACACAGGTCATCCAGGCGTTCCCCAGATACAACTACTAGCGGACGTCTTGGTGTCCCCCAGGTCCATTGCAAAACAAACAGCACGACTGGTAAGATGCGAAAAAGTATGACTATCTCCTGGGCTCTTCCGCAGGGTATCTTGCATCGGGAGCTCCACTCGTTCTGCTTGTACTGACCCCGGACCTTACCACTCTCTTAATCTATCTCTCTCCCTCTCTTGCATGCTTGCTTGCTAGCGGCTTCGAGAAGGCGCCCCCGTAGGAACACCCTCCCACGCACTGCGCGCAGCCGTGTTCAAGGTCATCTGAGGTCAGCCATGTTAGCTTTCCCCCAGCTCGGCGTGAAAAGGATTACAGTTCAGGACCCCCCCGACCGACTGAGCACCCCCAAAACACAAACATCTTGATCATCACAAAAATTGGCGGTCGGGCTGGCTGAACAAGGCCCCTCTTAGCTCTCCCATCAAAGCGGGCTCTTCAAAGTTGGGTATCCCCAGTATTTAGGGTGTCCCTCCAGACAAATTCAAGCGGATGCAAAAGGACTGAAAGCTGTGCAAGCATGGACTGTCACTGGACAAGGAGTTGCAGTCTAGGGTATCCCCATTATTTGGGGTGTCCCTCAAGAAGGTCGAAGCAGCTAGCAACCCCGGATCCCCTCGAGTGAACAAAACGAAACTGGTAAAACAGAACACAGACAGATCAAGGTATCCTGAGGTCGGAGCTGAAAGGAATCCCCCATCAACAGCTGCTATTTTGCAATGCCTAACGGGCACTCAGGTGTCGACGGCGGCGAAGTGGGGGACGATCTCGGTTTCCTCCCTTCGTTCTGCGTTGCCGCTTCTCCCCCGGCTCGTGTTTGTTCTCCTCCCCCACATCGAGGAACGCTGCCACACGTTTCAGCTTGGCTGCCAGTGTTTCTGGCGGGGGTCCCCCCATGGCCTTGGAGACGCGCTTGACCTTGGCAGTGAGGGTGCCACGAGCTGGCTCCCCCACCTTGGCCTGTGGGAGCTTTACTGTGAGGCCTCCCGCTCGCAAGGTTCGTCGGCGGTCCTCCTCCATCTTCTGCTTAAGCTTCATGCCGAGTTTCTCCCCCGCTGATTGGGCCGAGACCGATGCCGGCCGAATTGTTGCACCACTGTCGATCTCTATATCGATGAGGCCGTCCCCCTGGCTCGTCTGGGCTCCCCCACTTGGCTGCTTGAGTTCATCCATCACCTGCTTCACGAGGTCGTCTTGATCCAGGGACAGTTCGTTCCCCAAGCTTGCCCCACTGGTGCTCGCTAACGGCTTCTGCTCCCCCTGTTCCCCCTGTTCGCGAATCGAGGATTCCGAGGGACTTGGGGATTCAGGCATTCCCCATTCCTTCCTGAGGTCAGCCATGGAGATCATCAGGGGGGCTCGAGGAGGTCGAGGAGGGCTAAAGCCGTATAGAATACGATAACGGAGTCAAGTGACTGTATGTTCTCCTAGACACGTGCTTGAGTTCGTAAGTGTGTGATCCCCCCGAATAACACACAACATAGGCTCAAGGAACCGCGGGGAGGGATAACACAATACGAGCATCCGCTGGAAGTTTCTTCCAAATTGTGACTGTTGGAGCTATTGAAGGGGACTTTCAAAGGACTCAATCAGGAAACAAGCAAAGAAGGCACCCCTAAAGAACGTTCCCTTCAAAAGCCTGCAGTAACTTTCGGCATGAGGGAAAAGGTGGGGTTTGGAGCAAAAGTTGTTGGTCGGCTGAATTTATCCCCCCTATGGACATTGGCTATTGGTACTACGTGCAACGAGCGATTGGATCAGATTGAACGAGGTGGGGCCTGAGGCCCCCATTGCTGAAGGATTACAATCCTACACAAAGTTTGGTGGTTCCCCCGTAAGGTGACCTTAAAAGATTCCGAAAGAGATCTGAGCAGGTTGCGCGGGTTGCAGGCTCTCCCGACACTTTGAGAGCAAAAGGTTTGAGGGTATTCCCCCCTGAAGTACGGAAACACAGAACGAATTAGCGCTCACTTTTTGCCTTCATCCTCGCCTCCCCCATCTGTCGCTTGAGGGTTCCGCGGCCGCTTTGGCTCTGCGCTTTTGCTGTCTCTGGGCTCTATAGCGTAGCTTGCTTTCGATCTTCCACTGCTCCTTTGTACGCCCCCGGTACACTCTGGGGTCTGAACCGAGCGGTAGGCTTTCCCCCCTCGGCTGCGGCATGTACGCCTGGTGGGTTCCCCCTGCTGGAGAAGATCTCCTCCGCCTTGGCAATGGGGATCTCGATCGTCGCCTTCCTTCTGGCCATGGCGGTGTGACAGGGGCTCTTTGTCCAAGTTCAGCCTCTCCCCCAAAGTGAGGGAAATGTTCTTCCCCTGATCCAAGATACTCTTCATCGCAGCTTCGAGGTCCAGTGTCGGGGTCGGTTCGCTCCGCATTCCCCGAGGGAATGAGAGCGAGCCTCCCCCTGGCAGAAGGTTCCAGGTCACTGTCGGGGTCGGTTCGCTCCACATCCCCCCTGGCAGAAGGTTCCAGGTCACTGTCAGTGGCTTGTGGGCTCAGGGGTGGCGACTCTGGAGGCACGTCCCCCCCGTAAGTACCAAACTTCCAGCACATCCAGTGGTTCATCATCTTCCATTTCAGAGCCTCCTGCGTCGGGGATTTCCCCCCATCGGTCTCGAGCTTCGTCCAGTAGTGCATCCACAGAGTGCTCATCATATGCGAGATTCATGATGAGCTTTTGTGGGTGGCGGTCGTTCAAGCGGTAGTACCGTAGCAGCTGCCGAGCTTTATAGCGTATTTGCCGCTGTGCGATAGCCTCATCCAACTCTCTTTTAACCTGGTCCCCCTCTGCATCTGT